TTGGGCATTTGCACCAGCACTCCCCGCAGTGCTGCGCTCCAGGTCTCTGGCCAGGGCTGGTGGTGGCTGTGCCACTCCTCAGCCCCTTGTCTGTGCTCCTCCCACCTTCTCCTTTGCTTTCTTAGCATCCAGGCCTCCAAAAGTGCCCCCGAGGGGCAGAGACTGCTGTGGATCACCAAGGCAGTGGACCACAGAGAGGTCCCCCCACAAGAGTGTGGGTGTCCTGGGCACAAAGCTGTTTCTCCCTTCCCTTCAGGGAGCTACATCCACAGCTTCCTGATGGCGAGTGGGGCCCTTCACCGCTCTGCAGGTGGGGAGGAGGTGAAGGCTGGTGCTTGTTCAGGAAAGACAAATCCGGTGGACTGCAAGACCCGGGCGATTTCTCCTCTCCTCCCCAATCTCTTGGCTGCCACTCCCATCTGTAGGTCCAGCCAGGGGCAAGGCTGAGCACAGTTTCACAATGGGCACAATGTACATGCGTGCACACACACACACACACACACACACACAGAGAATACGCACACATGACCTGGCCACATGTATGAATGCAGACAGAGAGCAGTGCTTTTACAAGCACCCGTAGAAACAGCAATGGCACTCACACTGGCGTCACCACCACGAATGGCTCAATCTTTTTCATCAGGTCAGGATTGGAGTTCCATAGTGGATACTCCCTCCTCTCTTGACTGACATGTACGCACACACCTGCAGTCCCTCAACCGCTATCCCAGACCATAGGCCTGTCCAGAGTCCCTGCCTGAGCCATGGCCCCTGTTTATCCATCTCCTGCTCCGACCAGCCGAATGAGCTGGGGAAAACTTCTTTGCGCATCCCCAAGATGTGACATAGAAGGCCAAGGCTGGACCTGCTCCGCTCCTCATGAACAAGGAAGGCTTGGCCGCAGACATGGAAAGCAACGGCAGGAATAAAGCCACGTTGCCCAGGCATGCCACGATGGTCTTGGGAAAGGCAAAGCTTGACTTGTGTTGGGACTGGCAAGGGACACCAAGGGCAAAAAGGAGAGCGTTTACTGCTGCAACACTCTTGTTTGGGCAAAACAGGGTTTGTTTACCGCTGAGTGCAGCAAGGCCTTTGGCATGGTCCCTCATAGCATCCTTGGAGCTAGTCTGGTGAGTTGTGGAGAGGAGACCTGGCCGCTGACTTGTGCGGCAAATGGGCTGGACTGTTGGGCTCAAAGGCTTGTGCTCAGCAGTACAAAGGCCAACTGGTGGCTGCTTACTAGTGGTGTCCCTGGGGGAGCGCTTTGGGTGCCAACAGGCTTTAATGTCTTAAGGGGTGACCTGGACAGCGGGACGGAGGGTACTTGCAGCACATTTGTACAAGAGGCCAGACTGGAGCAAGGCAGTTGAGAGACCGGAGGGCAGGGCTGGTATTAGGAGAACCTCAAAAGGCAGGAGAAAGGGGCCAACAGGAACCTCCTGCAGTTCCACGCAGGCAAAGGCAAGTCACAAAATCACAGTATCACAGAACCGTTGAGGTTGGAAGGGACCTCTGGAGATCATCTAGTCCAACCCCCTGCTCAAAGCAGGGCCAGACAGAGCAGCTTTCCCAGGACCATGTCCTGTCAGGTTTTGACTGCTTCCAAGAATGGAGACTGCACAGCCTCTGTGAACAGCCCGTTCCACTGTTCAACCACGTTCACAACAAAACAGCTTTTCCTTCTGTTCAGATGGAATTCCCTATGTTTCAGTTTGTGCTCATTGCCTCTTGTCTTGTCACGGGGCACTACTGGAACCACTTGGTGGCACCACTTCTAGACCACTCTCCGTCATCTTGGAAAGGTCGTGGAGAACAGGAGAGGTGCCTGAGGACTGGAAGAAAGCCAATGTCACGCCAGTCTTCACAAAGGGCAAGAAGGAGG